AGTACACCACATAAATTGAGGTAAGCTCCATCCTTGCATTCTCAAATTTTATCCTCTTGCGTTTTGAATTTTTAAGGCTCGTATTCTGAATCATGCATGCAAATGCTATATTCTGAGTCATGCATGGAGGATCACGTACGCACGCATTCTGATCCTTGCCTAATCATGCAAATGTTACATAATAATTAATTCTTGCAGTACTCTTGAGTTTTGTAGGCAAACCCAAGGAATTAATGAACCATTTCATTAACAAACCGATTCAATTCTATGAAGAAATAATGAGATTGATCTGTGGCAACGACCATGCGCGCAATCAACAAAAAAGTATACGAGGGACTATATTGATGAGGCCATGCATGGAAGATGGTACATGTCATGAAGGTAATATTATGTATACATCGACGATAATGATACATGCATGCAGTTCGCCATCAAGATGCTACATCCTCTCGGTCCGTGCCAACACAATCTTCGAATCATTCTCTGAGTACATCAACAATTCAAGCTTCTAGTTCTAGGGCAAAAACTAAAGTTAGAAGCATTAATTAAGAAAATACAAGGTCTACAATTTGAGATGATGTCCGAGATAACTAAAGAGACTCATGGAGTTGCGGAGGTCATGTCGATGAAAGAGCATCCCACGTGATAGGAGTTGGAACAACTTATTTGGTTTCAATCAACTACTTGACCATACAAGGCGTGTGACTATTTGATGCATGGAACACTCTTCCATTGCTATATATATTCTGTTATTGAGAAAATCTGTGGAACAAAAAATGATTTCGATCCGTAACCTCTTGAAAAAAATATGAGTAAACTAGCTAGATTGGGTTAGCACATGCTTTTTATGCTTCACAATTTCAAATGTTTTATGTTCTTGCCTTTGGGCTTATAAACATTGGGACTGTAATAGCTTTAGGTAATATGGTTAGGTCTTCTTTTTTAATTATCTAGTTTTTATGTTTGTCCCATGCATTTTTATTACCTAAAGTCTTTGACTGTTTATGTGCGTATATGAGTGCATCCTTGTTAGTTTCAGTGTTCATGAATTACCTTTGATGATATGATATTTATGAATGTATAAAATGGCGGAAAAAGTTTCTTCATTTTTTTTCCTTATTGTGCAAGAATGTACCAGGCTTCAAAGTTGGGAAGCTCTAAGAAGAAATTCTTGTAATATGTTGTAGTTTTCAAAGATGAAATGGGTCCAGAATGTATTTATCATTGTTGGAATGATTTGATTAATAGATATCTTGTGTGAATAAAATGATTATATTTATTTAATTTTATTATTTGTTCTATTTTTTACTGAATTTTATAGAATTTTTAAGTGTTGCATAGGTGCAGTTGCAAATGCACTATTGCATTAGAAACAAACACATGGAACTGCAATCACATCCTTGAGTTGCAACGTCCTAGAAACTAAACAAACAATTGCAACTGCAGTTGCATGCAACACCAATTGCAACACTCTCAGTTGCATATAGGCGACAATTACAATCTATCAAACACACTCCTAATGAGGGAGGCAATAGACCAAATGTCATATCTTCCACATTTTTTCATAATTTCTAATTTTATCCCTAAATAAACAATTTTTTCTATAAGCAAAAATTGGATTGTGTTTTTAACATCTGTGAAGTTTGTGCACCGGGATGCAAATAAGGTTGCTCATCATTTGGCGATATATGATCGTTGGTCTAAGATAGCTAGATTTTGCTTAGAAGAAGTTCCTCCAGAGCTTTTGTCTTTGATTTTTTGGATGATATATCTAC